TCCCCAGGCCATCTGTCCCCTGCTCTAATCTCACAGCATCTGAAAGCTCTCACCCCCAGCCGCTCCCTTCCATGGCCTGCTGCTACCAGCCACCCCCAAACCAAACTCCACTCCTAACACTCAGGGCCTGATCCTTTGCATAGGGAGAAGAAATCACACCTGGGGGACCAGCCTCCCCATGGAGGGGCAAAGCCCCCTGCCCCATTCCTACCCCTCTAATACCACCCTGGGGCTGGCAAACCCTAGAGGAGAAAGGCCCCTGTCTCACCCCCACATTCCCTGAGCTAGCCAGTGCCCATCCTGGGAGGGCATCTTCAGTCCCTGGAACCCCTGCCTGGCCCAGTGCCCATCCTCACGTCCTGCCCAGGGGACCAGCCTGTGCTCCACCCTCGTCCCATGAGCCAGAGGATCACAGCATTGGAGCTGTCTCCACAGGTGTGTATCTGCTGCGCCTCACAGACACCCCCAACACCTGCTCCTTCTCTCAGCAGAGGGAAATCCTGGTACGCACCAACCTCGAGGGCACCAGGCCACAGCTCCTTCCCCACTTCAAGAACCTCCTGCTGAGCGTCTGGCCGCTCTTCTCCCTACACCAATTCTTTTACGCATTACCCATGCGTGGCCCCACCAAGCCCTGGGACCTCCTGGCCACCCTCCTCCTGGCTGTAGGTAAGCTGGCCATCTACCAGACCAGGAAGGAGGCTGGGGTGGTGGAAGAACCCTGACAGCTATGGGACTGTCTTCCTGTCCCTCATCCACACACATCTCCAGGTAGTTTCACTGGGTGACATCTACAGGCTCCTTGGATTTGTTCAGGGAGAAGTGAGCACTGGCCCATGTCCCTCTCAGAACCATTGTTATAAATCCAGGACCATCACTCCCATCCCCGGTTTCTCTTTAGCTGTCCCAAGGAATCACTTGTTACACCCTTACCTGGGAGCTGGCACCCCTTTCGAGGGGCAAAGCCCCTTGCCCCGAGCCAGCCTGAGCCAGCCCATGCCCCACCCTGTCTGGCTCAGAGAGGGGCTTATAGTTCTGAGCTGGCCCACCAGTGTTTGTGTGTCACAATAGGCCAGCTGGGCCCAGGGCAGCTTTTTATAGCAGCAATCCCCTGCAATCCAACGCTGGGATCAAGTCACTTCCTAGAAACATGGAGCCCAGCTTGCATGTCCGTGTCACCTGTGGAGCCGAGGGCCAGGCTGGGCTAGCAGTGAGCTGTGGGTCAAGAGTGAAGGGGACCAGCAAGGCTGGGAGGCCTGGGCTGGCAGGGGACTGGGAGCCAGGAGGGAGGGTAATGATCCCGGCTGGGCCATGTTTGCTGGCAGTGCCCCAGTCACTAGGGTGCCTTGCAGGCACTGACTTCAATGGAACCAGGACCCCACCCCAGATTCCCCCCCACGCGCGCCCAGACCTGGGGCTGGAGGCAGAAGCAGAGACCACTGGGTTTGAGCCATGGATACAAAGATGCCCCCAGTCTGATCGGAGGCTGTGGCCGAATAGGAGCAGAGGCCTGGGGCATGCAGAGCTACCTGATGTCCCCTGACACACTCCCCCCAACCTGCTCCCTGCACCCAGCACCCCCCCCCGCCCCGCTGCAGTGCACCCCCTCCCCTACCTGCTGTGCAGTACCCTCTGTTCCAGTGCCCAGCATTGCCTGCTGTCATCCCTTTTTGTGAGGCAGCTGCATGAGGGAGAAGTGAGCATGGGCATATAGAGGATGGGTGTATGGGGAAGGATGGATAGCTAGACAAACAGCAGGGGTTAATGGGGATAGATAGATAGATAGATAGATAGATAACATGGGGATGTATTTACATGGGGATGCAGACAGTGCAGGGGGGTGGGTTTTACCCCACCAGGTTGGAAGAAGGTGGCTAAACACCTTCAGACCTGAGGCATGTGGAGCCCCTGGGTGGAGGAACCACCAGGGCCACCCGAGACCTCTAGCAGCTGGGACAGGAGGGAGGTGGGTGGGTGAATGGATAAAGGGATAGAAACAGAGAGATAAAGGAGGGCTACATGGCAATGGAGGGATAGAGAGAAATAGAAGGGTTACATGGGATGGATGGACAGATAGATGAATAAATGGACAGATAGATAGAGGGGTGTACAAAAATAAATAGATGAGGCCTAAGGATATAGAGAGATCGAGGGGTGAACAGTGGTACAGACAGTTAGGTAAACAGACAGGTAGAAGTAGTATGTGGTGGTGGATGGATAGGGAATTTCAGATCCGTGGTTCTCAACCTTTTTAGACTCAAGGCACCCCTGAATAGACTTGAGGCACCCTTGATGGTCTCTCATTTCCCCCGCCATCAGAAAATGCCAGCTCTTAGCTATCACTCTCTTTTGACTCCAGGCACATATTAGCACCATTCTTTTGTGGCAACGAGCTCAGAAAGCCCACAGCAGGGCAGGATGTTTGCAACATGGTGGATTCCTATTTGAAATCTCTGGCTTTATCATGTGAATCATGCATGCTGCTACACCAAAAAGTCCCAACATTGCGCGGCACCCCTGAAAGGATCTCCAAGCACTCCAAGCTGCTGCACAACCCCAGTTGAGAATCACTGGCATGGATAGACAGATGGACAGGGTAGACAGAGGGACAGAGAGGTGGGTAGAGAAAGTAAATGTGGCTACAGAAGATGGATGAGAGGACAGACAGTATAGGTGTGCTCCCCTCCCCCAACACAGAGGACTCTTGCAGGCTGGGCCTGGTCTCAGCATCATATATAATATATATTTATATATTTACACTGGGGGGGTAGATTCCGCACCAGGGCTGGAGGGAAGGAGGCACACACACGGGGCAACGCGACAGGCTGATCCCAGGGCAGAGTAGGGGAGGTACGAGGAGGCCACAGGCCAGGCCAGAAGCATCCCCCTCCCCCATCGCACATATACGCACACACACACATACAGAGTCCCCCACCATCTGCCACATGCCCGGTGGCAACAGCTGAGAACCAGATGTGGGACAAAATATGGCAGAGGCCACAGCATCTCATGGCTGCAAGGAGAGGCATGGGAAGACCTCGAAACTGTCCGAAAGCAGGGCTCTGGCAGACTGGAAACAGTTGTTGGGGGTGCCCCGGCTGCTAGGATGCACACAGGGGAACTGAAAGCGTCAGCTGGTCAGGGAGGGCCTGGGGGGGGTGGAGTGAGACCAGATTGACCCCACCAGCCTAAAAGGTCAGAGTTCAACAGGCCCAGCTAGAGTTGCAGGGGGGCAGTCGGATGGCGGGGGCTGGACACGGCCAACTTGGGAGGAGAAAGTGGCTAAACACGGTCAGGCCGGAGGCACGAGTAACCCAGGGCCCAGGGAGAAGGCCACCATGGCCCACCCGAGACCCCTGGAGGGGGCGGGGGGTTGGCCATGTGGGGCAGGGAACTTGCTGGCTGGGAGGTGACTTGTATTCAAAGGATGGGGGGAGAACGAGTCTGCAGGGTGGGGGGCCTGGAAACAGCCTCTCAGAGGCTGGGTATTGACACCCCATCATACAGCCTAGGGCACTGCCCCCTAGCCTGGGCTACCCCCGCTCCAAAGATCCTTGGGCTAGTTCTTCCCCCAACAATGGGGAGAGAAGTATGAGGGGAGGCTCAAGACCAAAGGTCAGTAAGCCAGACCTAAAGTTAAAGGTCAACCCCCAGCCAGCCCAAGGGCAAAAGTCACACTGCCTTCACACCTACAGGCAAATATAACCCCGAGAGGCCAAAGGGCAAATGCTCCAGGCCATGGGGTTAAATCAGGCCCCACCAGACTAGGAGGTCAAAACTCAGACATCTCCGCCCCGCAACCCTGTTTCCAGGCACATGTAAATGGGACCCCTCCACCCCAACCCTGGTGGGTTGTACCAATGCAGAAATTTGCGGGGGGGGGGGGGGGGGGGGCTTGAAAGAAGGGAAAACATAA